CCCTCCCACCCCAGCCCAGCAGGGGAGCGCTGCCTTACTCACTGGTCGCACTGGTGGCTGCGGGAGCCGGTGGGACTGCAACCACAGGGACGGCACTGCTGGCTCCTCGGCTCCGGGTAAAAGCCCTCGGCGCAGCTCTCGCACCGCAGCCCCGCGTAGCCGTCGAGGCAGGGGCACTGCCCCGTCGTGCCGTTGCATTCGGCCCCGGCGGCGCTCCCCGGGGCGCTGCAGTTGCACAGGTCTCCTGCAAAGGAGGAAAGAGAAGCTGAAAGCGAGGCACAGTGCCGGGAGAGACCACCACCAGCTCGGCCACCCTCCCTCCGCTTACCCCGGGTTGGAAACGTCATCGCTGTAAGGATGGGATTTGCTTCGAAATGTTGAGATGGTTAAAAAGAATGTCAGGAGGACGCCGGGGTTTGAAGCCCCGTGGTTCGTGTTTCAAATCTCCCTCCAAAAGGGAGCTGGAAGATTATGGGTATAACTATTTAAATACATATATATGTAGCTGTATGTAGATACGCCACACACATACATACACTCGTGGTTGTCTGGTTGCACAACTCCAGGAGCTGACAAGCGCAAGCTGTTGTAATAAGAGGATAAAATCAGCAGGAGGTGGCAAAATCACTGCTGTATACGATCCTCCATTTCTCACCAGTGGAACACCCCTGATTTACCAACGGGCCGGCTGTGACGACGCAGGACATCCAGAGCGACCCCACGTGATGAACCAGCACCGGCACCTCCCAGTCTTGGAGAACGGAGACAATTCCCAGCTGGGAGCTGGGGGATCTCCAGGTGTTTGGGCTGCGGTCCCTGCTGCAGCAGCAAAAGCTCCCCTGAAAATCTGCCTTTAGGGGAGCACCGAGCATGTGACCACGGCTCTAAAAACCCGAGTGGTGGAGCTGGAGGGAGGATGGAAACCCCCTGGCTCCTGCCCTCCACCTAAACCACAAGGGGCCACCTTTGGCCCCACCGCACACACAGGCTGCTCCGGGGACCCACATACAGGCTTTGGGGTCACTCCCTATCTACAGGGGTCCTGGATGCACTGAGCAACCACTTTTTTAAGAGAGAAGCAAACCTTTTGATCAAGCAATGAATTCCCAGTCCTGTTGCACATTATTTCTCATAATACCGTTATTTCTCGTAATACCGTCTCTCCGGCGTGTTCGGTTCTTGTTTCTCATAAGTGCCAAAAGCAAAACCTCTCCTCGGCAATTTGTTTCTGCCAAGAGCTTTATCTTCATCACTTCATTGCAAAATATTTAGTGCCTTAATAATTTAAGGTCTTTTTCTGCCAAGAGTGTATTATAAACAAGGATTATTTGCAGAACTAGTGCATAAAGCATCAGGGGCTTTACACAACCACTGGTATTTGTTATTCCCCGAGAAACGCCAGTATTCAGGGCACTTCACAGAGAGGGGAGAGGTCAGGTCCCCATCCCAAAAAAACTTCACTTAAACACAGTTCAAATCACATAAAGAAGACCCAACATTATGTGTTCTATGTCACCATGAGTGTTTCGGATTCTGAAATATTTATATTGCACTGATCTAATGGGAAGGACCGCAGCAGGTGCCTGGATGGAACCACACCTAAAACCCAGAAACTAAATAAAGATTAATTTGTGCATACAGAAGTAATCTGCTCAAACTGCACTGAAGACCTCAGTGTATCTTTGGAAACACAAAGGGCCGGGTCTCCTGCATCACAGCAGCAAGGTGAGGGCTCCCCAGCGTCCGTCCTGCCTGGGGGCAGCCCTTGCTCTGGGCACTTTCATCAGTGGACACACGATTCTAGGTTGATTTTTCAAGGAATGCGACAAGCCAACTCCCCAAAAAAGCGACTGTGCACAAGTCACAGAACCTCTCCAACCACCGGCCACGGCCAGGCTGCAGCACCTGGCTGCTCAGCAGCCCCCAGTGCTTTTACCCGTCATCTGTTTTCCTCCCACACACAAATATGAATTCTTTAGCTTTGCTACCCCATCACTATATACATGGTATCCCCAAAAAACTCATTTTGTACCTCTACACCTGTGAAATTGCTCCTAAACTTTCTTCAATCTAAACTAACAAATAGGACAAACACCGCAAGATCTGCAATTACCCACTTCAGCAGCCACTTCACATAATGAATCAAATTCCCATCTCAATTATCCAAGTGGAACCTCATCGATTCGGGCACTTGGGCTTCTCCCAGATGATGGGAGCCACAAGAACTTGTTGAGCGAAAGCACTTTGGAGTTGGTCAAACACGCTTCAAAACAAATTTACTTTTCAAAGCTCTTTATGTTCAGTGCCACTGCACCTGCTAGACTGAAGAATAAAAAACATGCCTTGTATCAGTTTTAAAGGTGATGTGAGGCACTGGCAGGGCAGGTCCCAGCATCGTGGTGAAGAGTTGCTCCATTTAGAGACCAGCCTCACAGTGCAGGAGCATCAGAGCATGGTTTTGTGGCCATGCTTGCATAAGGGGAAAAAGGAGAGCTGTCCCCAATTATATTACACTGACAGGAGCAGAGAGAACTGATGCTGACAGCCTATTACCTTCCAAGAAAATCAGCCATAGCAAAAAAAAAAAAGAAAAAACAGAAGTCAGAGAAAAAGAGCTGCATATTTTGGCAAGAAGCTCACATTTCTTTCGCCCTTTATCAAAGGACCTCAGTCATCCATCAGGAGGGTCTGGCCATCGCCAAACCGTGGTGCAACTCACGGGGAACGTCATCGCTACTTGCTGGAGCCCCACACGCCCCGGGTGGCAGCGAGAGGCGAAGGCAGGATCCAGCCCCGCTGCCTTATCTGAGGGATGCAAACACCAACAGCCTCGCTGGAAAAAGCAGCTGACTTTGGGTTGATCTTGGCAACGGCACCAGCTACCAAACTGGCTTTTCCTTCCAAGAGCAGGGCTGTTTGTGCGCTGAGACACTTTTGGAAAGCCGCACACTTTCCAAAAACACACACGGCCTCTTCTCAATGCCTTTTTTTTTTTTTTTGGCAGGTCTTTGCCCATGCAAACTGCACCAAGTCAGGTCAAAATGTGGAGGCAGCTCAGCCTCAAGCAGCCAAACTCAACAGCAATGCTGACACCACCAGCTCTGGTTCCCCAAGACAGCAAGAAATGCTGCAACAATCCAAAATAACACAGGCAAAACGAGCTTTTTTGTTCACGAGCTGGTGGAATGTAGGCTCCAGCTGCCTCGACAGCGACGGGGGAGGCTGGTTGTGCTACCAGTGGGGACACGGATCCAAGCTCGTCTGCTGCGGAGGCTGCACCACCACCCCCGAGTCCATAAGGCAGGTACAGGGGCAGATGCTGAAGACATCTCCCAAAAGAGTTGTTTCCTTGCAGGCCTTGCCTCCCCCCAAACTACCCCAGGGATTTTTGGGGAGGGATGGCTGCCCACTTCAGGGGAGCAGCATCATGCAGGGTGTTCCCCACCACCACTCTCAAGCCTCCCTTGCTGCACCCAGCTCAGCCCGAGCATCTGCCTGGCTGATGCAACCCAAACATGCCCTAAAGCCCCCTGTGATCAGGCAGCGGAGGAGAACCAGACAGCTGCATTAAAATCCATCGCCTAGCGCAGCATCGAGGTTTGACATGATGATGTACCAGACTATGAAAACCCAAGGCTTAATTTAAAAGACACTTTGTTGTCCCGACGGCAGCCAGGTTCGAGAAGGCGAGAATGTTCCACAGCCAGACAAGGAAAGCGATAACGAACACCTACCTTAGACTCTGGGAGCACAGCAAAGGTGACAAGCACCACAGAAGAAGATTACGGAACATTATCCTGGCTCCTGGCCAGAGCCTGGGGTTTTGGAGCCTTTATTCCGTTTTCTCAAGCAAATGTTTTGCTTTTGAAGGTAACCTTCAAAAACACCTTACCGAGAGCTTTGGCAGTCACAAAGGAATGAACACGGGTGGATGAACCCTGGGGCCACACCGCGCTGGGTTGTTCAGCCGTGGCTGGAGGTAGGGTGTTGGGGTGGGATAACATCATCAGCAACGGGAGCCAAGGACAAAAAACCCTTCGGGATGCTCCAACCCCTGGCTCTCCCCAACTCACTATAGTCACTCACCCTGGCTCTGCCTCAGTTTCCCCATCTGAGCCCTGCTCGTCTCTGCCTCTGTTTCTATTTCTAAAGCACTGAGGTTTCTCTTCCTTCCGCATAAAGCACAGTGCAACAGCTCAAGGCACTTGGCTGTCAGTGATAAAACCCACCACCTTTGCTCGTGAAGGTGCTGACAGGCTTTAATTAATTAACAGCCCAACGACGTTTTGGGATCCCGGAACAGAGGCACTACAAAAGTGTGTATCGCTGCCACATGCTACTCCTTCAAGCAAAAAAACCCACAAACACAGCTTCTTTCATGAGCAGCATTTTAGCCTTTACTTTTCATTGCTTAGAGGCAGAGTAAAAGGTTTATGGTTGCTACAGCTGCTGTATGGGAGACATTTAATATTCCTTTACAGTTAGCTGCAACACAGGATTATTAATTATTACACAAAAGCTGTAGGTTACTAATAAGCTGGAGAATAGTTATTTCTATTTTTTTATTGCACTGAGTGTGCGCCGTGGCTGTAACCAGTACCAACACAATCGAGAATGTGCCAGGCTTGCAGGAGCCCGGCGACCCCTCGCCACAGAGCTCCTTCTCCAAATCCCAGCCCAGCGCAGGGCCCTTCCCTGCAAACCCCAACGACAGCCCAGCCCAGCCTGAGCCAGGCCTGGCGTGACACCGTGTCCCTTCATCTCCCATCCCCTCCTAGCACTTAAGCAGGGCCCATTCTGGTGTAAAAATAATTTCTCAAATTATGTTTTCACATCCTTTTAGACTTGCAGCGGTTTAAGTCTTCACACATATTTTAAGCATGATTCCTCTTCCCATCCAAGTCACTTAATGAATGAATAACTGAAAGATGGGTGACATATTTACAAATGGCAAAAAGAAGGCAACACTACGAACCACATGAAGGTGTCTATATGAAACCATATTTGCTGGGGGCAGTCTGAAACAGTGGACAAAGTCAGCTACTCACTGGGAGCCAACATGGAAAACCCAAGATGCACATTTTTTGCTAGAAGAGCGCCCAGCTCAAAGAGCAAGCTGTGAAGTCCCAGGGATGCTATTTATTGTCCTGCTATGAAAACATCCCCAGAGGGCACTTTCTAGCCTCTGGATTAGACGAAGGAAGAAAAAATAAATACATCTATAACCTGGAGACCTTGTCAGATTTTAGGGTGCAGCCCTACTTTGGTTTCTGTGGTGCTGCAGGGCTGAAGCCAACAGCCTGATGCTTGGAGTTACACTGAGTTTACACCAACGTGATCCCACTTC